TGGCATGCTTATGAGATTTAATAAGTTCGAAATAGGTCTACGTTTGACGATTTTGCTGGCGAATGATCTGATCTAGCTGTTTACTAGATACTGTAAGTGTAGTTCAATGCTGGACGGGGCATATATCCCGCAGAATAGTTGTTTCTCCATAATATCTTTAGTTAAAAAGTAGTCCATGATGTTATATCTATTTTTTAAAATTATTAAATTTGTGACTATTTATATATAGGCAAAAAATTATTTAGAGTACCTAAGTACCTTCTACAAATAGAATCTGATCCCAATCTGACTACTTAGGGAATGCAACGAAGAATAGCCATCGAAGGCCGTATGTGTAGAAGCTACAGTAAAATTTCAAACTATGAGATCCTATTATGGGCTCTATCTAAAAATGCTTGAGAGTTGAATGACATCCGACTGTGATGGATCAATTTATTAAGGAAGAAATATGGTTGTCGTTTTTTGGAAACGGTTACAAATCAATATATGGCAAATATATGGGCGGAGATTATTTGTTTTAATAAAGTTTCAATGGTTTCATTTACATTTAATAACTAAAGAAACACTTAAAATTAATACACTATAAAACAATCGAAACGACCGTTATGAAAAAACGTGCGAATAACCTAGATCGAAACTGAACTAACGTCACTTAGAGTACACACCCTACGTCAAATGTACCCTCTTCAATAAATGGATATGTGAGAGAGACAAGCTTATACATATGCATATGTATTTAAGAAAAGTATGAAGAATGTGTCTTCTATTGGAGTGGTGTCACTCATTCAGGGAATCAGGGATTTCCTTCAATAGTAGGTCTGTTTCTGCAGCAGTTGAGGATTGATTTGAAACTATCAGAGATATTTGGCCAATCGATTCGTGAACATATACACTTATAGATGTAACAACTTAAGTGGTCGAAAGTATCTGATAGTTTGAGACTACTGCAGAAACAAACCTAGTAAAAATATCTGTATTATTTCATTGTATATTATGCAATAAAATTAAATGCAGAAATAAAGCATGAAACTTTTGTATTTTCCCATTTAACCGCAACGTGTTTACTACAACATGTGACCGTGCACAAAGCCACCAACTCTTCGGAATGAAAATGGCGCACAATTTAAATTCAGCGTTACTTTGGGGATACGCTTTGTGTATAATTTTTTATTCTAAATCATTTTTTGGTTGTCTTTGTGTATACTTGTTATTTGCAATTTGATCTTTGAATGTACTCTAGAATGTGTCTGAGGTTTAAGTCTACAGGGTGTTAAAAAAAGAGTGTAAAATATTTAAGGAGGTAATAGTATGAACCAAAATAAGCAGAAAAGTCTCAATAAACATGGGTCCGCAAAGTAACGGTTGCGGAGATATGGAATGTTTTATGTTTTTTTAGCCCCTTTTTTTTATTTTGCAAAAACGTTGTGTATTTTCTTATAATAGTTGGTTGATGTTTAGTGAAATAAACAGTACGTATTTGACAGTTGTTCTCAGTGCACAAGTTTTCTTTCGCTATGGCTGGTTACTCTAACGCAGAATTAACAGACATGCATTTCATGTATGGTCGTGCTAATGGGAACGCCACCGAAGCGCGACGTCTTTATGTTGACGCTTATCCAAATCGCCAGATTCCTTCACAACGCATGTTTGGAAGAATTCACCAAAGATTGCGTGATACCGGTTCCTTGAGCAAACAGTGCCATTTATCCGGAAGACCAAGGTCGGTATCCACTCCTAGAGCAGAAGAAGAAATTCTAGCACTGGTAGAGCAGAATCCAGGTACGAGTGTGCGGAGAATATCAGCCGAGGTAGGAATTAGTGGTCCTCTTGTTTGGAGAATCCTTCACGAGCAACTGCTTTATCCATACCATGTGCAACGAGTACAGGCCTTAAATCCAATAAATGATCATCAAGCACGTTTGGTTTTTTGCCGCTGGTTTCTACGTCATGATGCTGAAGACCCTCGTTTTCTTGCAAACATTCTTTTTACTGATGAGGCCGGGTTCACAAGAAATGGAGTGTTTAATTTTCACAATACGCATATTTGGGCCGACGAAAATCCTCATGCTCTAATAGAATCTGGACATCAGGCACGTTTTTCATTAAACATTTGGATGGGTATTGTAGGTGACAGGTTTCTAGGTCCTGTTGTTTTACCAAACCGATTAACAGGCGCTGCTTACCTCAACTTTCTGCAGAACACACTGTATGAGTTTTTGGAAGACATTCCTTTGAATCAGAGGCAACAAATGTGGTTCCAGCATGATGGTGCTCCAGCTCATTTTTCCATGGCCGTTAGAGAGCATTTACACCAAACTTTTCCACATAGATGGGTAGGAAGGGCCGGACCTGTTTTATGGCCTCCAAGATCGCCTGATCTGAACCCTCTAGATTTCTTTGTTTGGGGATATTTGAAGACATTAGTGTATGGTACTCCTGTAAATAGCCTGGAAGAGCTGCAGCTACGGATTAATCAAAAGTGTCAAGAAATCCAAACCAAGGAGGGTGTTTTCGAAAGAGTTCGAATATCGTTGAGACGAAGATGTCGTGCCTGCTTGGAAATGGACGGAGGGCACTTTGAACATCTTCTGTAACTTTGTTTTTTGTTTGTTAAAAGCTTCCTTTGTCGGTTTATTCCTAATAAAATAAAATGTTTGAAAAACGAATAGTGGTCCATATCTCCGCAACCGTTACTTTGCGGACCCATGTTTATTAAGACTTTTCTGCTTATTTTGGTTCATACTATTACCTCCTGAAATATTTTACACTCTTTTTTTAACACCCTGTATAATAATATTCGCATGAGGAAAATGAGAAAACGATTTAAGGGTTAAAGTAGTCTAAAATATTAAGAGATAACGTCATTTTAGGAAGATAGATTCAATCGGAGTAGGTTGGTCCACAGAATCAGTTTTGATGCCATCCTTTATGCCAATAACAAAAAGAAATATTTTTTTAAACAAAATTGTGAAGTATTTTGACATTCACTTGTTTTTGTATACATTGGGCTTTAAGTGTAAAATACATAGATATTTTTACCATTTCTTATTTCCCATTTACTATTACCAGTGTTAGAATTATTAACTTTCAAAAGTGTTCATAAAAAAAATATATTTTCTGTTATATCTTCATAGCGTGTTGACGGAACAGAATGAAATTTACTACAACGTATTCACTTAATTATACGTTTTTTGAATGTAATATTAACGGCGTGGCATTAACCATTGGCGTGCTATTGAATGTACCGCCCCATTTTCCTAAGAAAAAAATACGACACTGGCGGTTTTTTTGTAGAAATAATGTTACATTCAGGTATTGTTACGTTAAATAAATGAAACATGTTTCTTGGTGTTTTTTGATAGTAGCAGCCGTTTAGGAGGATTTTCCGACCATAATGCGCAAATTTAGTCCACATACTTATATTTATTTAAACTCCATATGCAAGAATTGATTCTTTTGTCTATGTTTTCAATCAGTAAACTTTTGGATGATATCGATATAGTATTTTAATTAGTTTTGTTTATTTATTCCTAAATCTGCAATCCTTCTTAAGCTTATGAATATGAGGTCAAATGTGGCAAAGGACTTAATTTTGAACATTTGTTGTAGGACTTGTTATTTAATTACTTATTTGACCTATTTTATTATTTAGTTTGATATTTTTTCCAGAAATAAAATTATTTCTACAAAAAACCGCCAGTGGCGTATTCTTTTCTTGGGAAAAGATGGCGTCCCCTTTAGTGGCAAGTCACTGGTTAAAGCCACGAGGTTAATATTTCATCAAATAAAAGGTTTAATTTATTAGAAAAAATCAATAAAAGATAAAAGCAGGCCCAAGTATCTCCTAAACAACTTTAGGCTAAACGCTTAAACGTAACTACATACTTATATTTCTTTACAACAAACCGCCAGTGGCGTGTTTGTTTCTTGAGAAAATGGGGTGGTAGCACGCTGCTGGTTAAAGCCACGGGGTTGTTATTACATTCAATAAATGTAGTAAATTTCATTCAATTCCGTCAGCGCATTATGAAGATATGACACGAAATATATATTTTTTTGTAAACTTTAACACCCTGTATTTCGAATAGGTATCGTATCCCGTGAAAATAGTTTATATGCATAGTAATGTATAATAATAATTTTAAAATTTATAGAAATTTTCACGCCATTTAGGTTTTAAGGAATGCAAAAATCGTTAAAAAAAATTGTAAATCTAGTGTCCTAAAAATAGTCTTCCCATCACAGTTATAAAAAATTAACAAAAAAAATTAATAACGAATAGTATAGTATAATGTTACGTCTATAAATGATCATTACTACCCAATACTATTTACAGAAATGTATAGCATTGTTACATTTCACCTATTCTTCATTTCATATTTCATTTCATGTCTGTAATTAACACACTAAAAATAGCTCGATGAAAAGTCGGTTGTTCTATCTATGGCATATTAATGATAATTGATAAGTTGAAAACCGGTATATATGATGGTTTGGAAGCCGAATGATCCTAGCAATTTACTAGGTATTGTGGGTATAATTCAATGTTCGGGGTATTAATACGTAGAGTAATTGTTTCCCGTAATATCATCAGTTTAATAAATAATAAGTATTTAGTATTTTTTTAAAATTGGTATGACAAGCGACTGTTTCAGTATTCTAAATTACTTAGAAAATATGTTGCATTTACTGTTGAGCCTCTGATCGCCAGGTCACCCCTGTGACTGTGGCCCTAAGGATAGATGGCAGATGTTTTTATTATTTAACTTAAACTACTGGATGATTTGGTGGGGTAAGAGTGTGTGTGTGTGTCACAATAGAACTTTGGGGTTGTATTTAAGGCAATAATCGATACGAAATGGAATTTTCAATGAATACGCGGTTATGCGAAATATAATTTTATTTATATACAGTATGGCTCTCAAACGAGCCATAAATTAATTCTGGATTACTTTTAAAACAAATTTTATGGATGATTTAAAATTAACATTACAATTCAGTTTTAGATATTATATGTGGTATGAGCGAAATATTGTCGGATTTGAACATACAATCAATGTCCGACAACTGGAAAGGATATACAGCGATTGTAAATAAATTTTCGTCCATTTTGGTACATAGTATTGATCTAAAAGTGCCCATTTCATGTTTGACTTACCAGGTGGACAAAAATTTGTCGTTTATTGATAATAAGGTAGGTCGAACAATTAAATATAAAAAAGGCGGCATCAAATTCTAAGTAAAATAATAACATGTATACATGTACTGCTGGCAGCTCTCTTATACAGGGTCACTGATATGTATGGTCGATTATCTCAAGTAAGATAGCTATCGAAAAATCATGAGACACAAACGTTTTAGAGTTTTTAAAAATCTATTACAATAAAGATAAATTAAGTATACACGATCAGTTAAAAAGTCATGACGAAACAAAGTTGATTTTTCTTCAATATAACATCCTATATATTATTCCTCATTTCAGTTATTCTCGAAATTCTAAACAAAATTCATATAGCACATCATGTACCTAAATTCACAGTTTTCGAGATCCACATTGGATGAAGGAAGGTCCACACCCAACGACCACAGGAAGTAAATTTTTATAAACGGAAATTTGATCTCTGAACGATATTTATTACTTTTGCAAGAACATATTATTTCAAAGCTTAAACGATTATTCTCGAACAATAACAATCCCAATTTATCGGCAGAACAAATATGATTTTAACATGATGGGGCTTCCACATTTTGGACGTGTGAAACGGGTATATCTAGATGACACTATTTCTGATAATATATGGATTTAACGTAGAGGGAAAATTGAATGGCTAGGTCTCCTGATATGACCCCCCTTGACTTTTTTCTGTGGGGTCATAAAAATTTAGTCTATAAAAACAGGCCACAAAATATCGAATAGTTGCAAGAAAGGATAAGGCACGAAATTTCCACTTTTCACCCAACGCCGTTTTAGATTCACTACAAAATTTTGTTTAGCGAATTCATTACTGTCAGGAGGTAATGGTAAACACTTTGAGCATCTTATAAAATAGAATTCAAAGGAAAATATTTGTTGTTTATTAAAACTTGTTTTCTCTCTTTTTTTTTATTCTGGCGTAACTAATGTTTTCATAAAATTTAAAAATAAAGGACATTCATTAAAAAATACATTTTTTCGTTTCATGCATTATCAACCTTGAACAGTGCTGTTTTATTTTCTGTAAAAAACTAATAAGAAAATTAAATCATATCCATATCCTCCACCTTGTGTTATTTTCAAAATAAATATCCATAATTTGGGTCCCTTTTTCATTTATAAACATGAGAGTAGTAAAAAGTTACTTTCAAAGTTCGATATCTCCAAAAGAGTTAAGTTTAGGTATATGATGTGCTATATGAATTTTGTTAAGAATTTCGAGAAAAATTGAAATATTGAATAATATAAAGGGTGTTTCATTAATGAAAAAGCAATTTTGTTTGCTCATGACTTTATATACTTAATTCTTTATTGTAATAGATTTTAAAAAAACTTAAAAAGTTTGTATTTTTCGACAGCTATCTTACTTTAGGAGATAATCGACCGTTTCCATACATATCAGCGATTTAATTTTTTTTATATAATAATTGTTATAATATAAATTTAATTTTTAGGATGAGATTGATCTAAAGCTTGTAACTCAAGTGATTAAAATTACCAGTTTTTTAATCAAGGTGGTTTTGAAAATTTGCGACATCTTTTGGAATTGTCTAGTTAGATTCTCGACTGAGGCTTTAAAATTTTGTTGCACGGTATATAGGTGAGTCTGATTTTTCTTTTATGTCTTTGCTTTTATAGAACTTTTGTATTTGTAGTTTTCCGGTAGAACTGTTTCGATCACAAGGACATCTCTCCGAGACTTTGATATTAATAGAGAATTTCGTTTTCAAAACAATAGAACCCCTATTAGTGCGATTGTTGAAAGATTCCAAGTCTCTCGAGGTATTAAACAATCGTATGCATTACAAAATCCTTAAAGCTCTAATTTTTAGATATTGTTTACGGAAAACTTGCTTCGCGATATATATTCTTTTGGACATTTAAATGTTTTGAATAACATTTTAAGGATTCTCGTTTCAAACCAAATAAAAATGTCGGATCATAGTGTTGGTGGTATAATAAATGCAATATTTAGCTGTACCAGTTTATGTGAGTAATATAAATGATTCAGTCACCCTGTACGTATTTTATTTTACTGTATTACGATATTTTAGGTTTTGCAGAATTCTTTTGGGAATGTGAACCTAAGGACAATATTATTGATAGTTTAGTTTTGCATATTTCAGCAACTGTGATCTTCTACGACGAATATTATGGAGAAATGGAAAGCATTTTGCTCAAATATCTTCTTCAAGATCACATATTCGCGTCGCTGTTGGCAATGGAAATTTGGACGCTTCTTTTATGGTTAGTGACAAATTATTTTTTATTTTTTATTTACTATGTACTGAACATAGTTTGTGTTAATAAGTTTTGGGTATAAATTTTTTTTTAAATGAATATCGAGTATTGAATTGAAGAACATATTAGCCGTGTGGTACATTTGTTAATTGTTCAAATAAGCGGGAGTCTACTCGGTTGACTTGCTAAGTATATCGGTACATTTGTCAATTATACAGCCCCACAAAAAAGTTCTATATTAGAGACATGAAAATATAGTGCATTTTTTAATGCCGAATCCGAATCCACAGCCCAAGAACCCATCTCATTTTTTAGTAAAACCCTAAAATAGCCCCTAAAATATTGAGCATAAAGTAAAGCTTTACAATGAAAAACAACAATTTATAAATATTTTAAGAAAATATTTTAAAATAATATTTTGAGCATTGGAGCAGTGTGGACCATTTTGGTGATACATGTATTGGAAACTATAAGAGGTAGGAAAATGGTTAGATGGGACAACTTTTAGAAATTTTTGTTGTTAATTTAACAGCACTTTCAGACCGATTCTAACTCCTCAGGTTTTTGAGTTATTTTGAAAAAAGGTAAATGTGGAGTTTTCGAAATTTCACTGTAGGTATATTTAGATTTTCATTGCGACGTTTCGGTCGCGAGTAATCATGATTAGCTTTCTTTTTCTTATGGGCACAATATTGGATTTTGGCTTTTCAATGATAGGGATAAGAAAAATTTTCAAAAACAACCTCAAAAAATCAATATTTTAATATTTTTAATAAATCTGGCAACACTGCATAATTTTTCGAAGCTATTGTAGAATAATCTCAAACTTTTGTATAAAATTTATCATTAATGTCATGGTGTCGAGTGAAAAAATTACGCGTTGTGTTATTTCATGAAGAAAAATTTGATATATTGGAGTGCTTTATTAAAAATGATATAAAAGCAACTGTGGCTTTAAACTGTTATGTTGGAAATTATCCCGAAAGACAACCACCAAATAAAATGTATTTTTCTAAATTTATTACAAATTTGAAAATGTTTGGAAGTTTTGAAAAACTATATGCTGTGAAAACTTAATAATAACTGGGGCAATCAAATAATAGATTATTTCAACAACAATCCAATACCATCAACAACACTATGTAATAGAGAAATAAACATCGCGATTATCGAAATGCTGTCCATTTATTGGCAATGCAAGGCACCTTTGTAAAATATTATTTGTCATTCGCCGAATGGTATTTCTATTAATATTTGCAAATACTTCGAGCTCTTTCTTCCAGAATTTCCACAGTTTGGGGAGGTTCGAATTTATAAATTTGATTCGTGCGTCACATACTCCCAGAGGAAGAAATCCATGGGGTAATATCTGGTGACCTAGCAGGCCATGATATATTGCCTCCACTGGAAATTAATTTGTCACCAAACATACTTATTATGGTGTAACCGATTTTTAACAATTCTCGCATTATGAGCGGGATAACCATCCCGTTGGTATCATATGTTGTGAATGTCATTATGTGGCGCTATCTTTCTAAATTTCATGGTCTAATATGTTTTTTTCTCTAAATACTTTTCACCAGTTAATGTATGTTGGTAAAACATGGTCCTATAAGTTGATTCCTTACAAAAAATATCGTTACGTACAGAACAAATAAATTGCATATATGCTATCATTGAACATATAATTTTAGTGAAATAATTCAAACAAGAGAGATATAGAAAATTTGTTTACTAGAAATGCCACATCAAACATTGATACTAAATCCTGTCTGTAATTTTTGTTGAACCCGCAATTCAGTATTTTCTGTAGCCCAATTATGTTTATTATATACTCCACAATTAGTGAACTGCGTTTCATCGGTCTATCACGGTGCTCCTGAGCGAATTTAAATGAAATTTGCAAGTCACTCCAAAATAATAAGATTATCCTGTTTCTACAATATTTGAACATCATTTTAAGCCTTGAACCAAAATATTTGGTGTGGCGCTTTTTTTCCGATGACAAAATAAGAAATTTGTATAGTTACCTACATTTTTCATGTAGGTAACTATAAAAACTTTACTTCAAAAATCAAAAAGAGAGTTGTAAGTTATTTTAACAAAGTGAAAACTATTAAGCCAGTATATACAGGGTGTTTTTGAATGGAGTAGCATAAATGATACCAGAGAATCTACATTTCAAAAGAACACGATCTGCAAAAAATCGCGTTGGTAAAATGTTCACCCCTGAAGAGATATGGGCCATCAAAGTTTCCAAAAAAATTATGAAAATTGGCTGTAATTTGAAAACCGAACGAGGTACAAATAACAAATTTTTTACAGGTTGTTTACTAATACAGATGCGAGTTTTCAACTATTTTTCGAAAATTTTAACCCCTCGAAAGGGGTTGAAATAACCACCC